GCGGGACGGAATGGTTGAAGCTGGCCAATTCGGCAAGCCCAGCCATTCAACTACTAAGTATACGTACAGTAACTGCTACTACCAACACAACCCAGCTCAACTCAACTCATCCCATCATCCCATTCACGTCTACAGTGTTAGTGACCCGTTGGCCAACCAAACCCAGCGTCGTGATGCTTCTAGAAAAGAGCAACCCAGCTGGTCTGCATGGAGGGATCCGAACCCATGTCGGAACCTCCTGTAAGGACCGACTGATCATCCCAGCAAGCTAAAAGCAAGTACTGTACGCCTACTGCACTCGAGGCCGCGATCTACTCTCTTACCTTGTACTTTTGTCTCTGTTCTGTTGGTATGCCCTGCTGGTTGTTGCCACTGACGAAGGAGGTGCAAGTAAGCCGGGAGATGATGATGCTTGCTACACGGTCAACACAGCCCACTTCTAGCATTTCCATTCAAGTACGTACTCAGCACATAGAACCACTGGTACTACAGAGTTCTGTATCTCCTGATAATATCAATGGTTTTGCACCGGAAGGAGGTCGAACCCGGCCGCTGGCAGCTGGCGATGCATTCAAATACGGGTGGGTATTGTTAGTCGTCGTATGAGCATCTCCCTTACCGTACGGTAATTTGTCGATGGAAATGGAAGTTGGCCAAGTGCCCTTCCCCCTTCTTCATGGACGGTAGAGTAAAGGTGGCTTCGGAAGGGAAGCTGGAAGCGAATGGAATGTACATATGTACGGAGTACTGTGCTGTAGTACAATGAGTGCTGTCCTTCGAATTGATCCTGATGTGATGCCGTTTGGAAATCAAGGTACAGTACGCGCATCCCCAGATCATGGAATCACGTGCAGGTCACTTCCGCTTGCCCCCCCCAAACGTTCAAGCGTCATCGGCATCAACGACAGGATCTCAACTGCTCAAGGGATCCGCATCTTTCCCACAGATCGCTGCTGCGTTGTTGCCTCCAGATCCAATCGCCACCGTGTATGACTTCTGCAGCCGCTTCTCCCCATGATCGATGTGCAGGACTGCCTCACGTAGTGGCCATTTCACCGCATTCCACATTGTCCGAGCAACAAGACGCTTGGATCGACTCCCATGGTTCATACATGGTTTGGGTGCAGCGGACAGGTACGGTACATCACTTGTCCACTTCTTTAGGGCATGCTCGCGAGTCCTTCCTCCCGTTTACAGCACCAGCACCAGCACCAACCCTCTCTTTCTCTCTTTGATGTAGAGTTTAGATGGTTATCATCATCATTCATAGCTAATAATCCAAGACCACGAAAGCGATAATAAAAACCATTGAAAGTACAGTTTAAAAAAACCCCCCTCCATGCAACCAATGCAGATGGAAGTTGTAACCGGCCGAGTCAGTGCTCTCGACTGCCCCGCATCCTCCCCTCGAGCAACTCTTTTTCCTTTAATCCTTTTGTTCGATTTCAATTTGCTGGAACTGCCAGTGACACCTCCCAATAAGCCAGCCAGGATCGAGGGAACCTAATGTACCATGCAGGGTGTATGCTGCTGCGTCTCATGGTATCCAATCTAAAGCTTGTATGCAGGAGCGTGAAAGCAATAGTCGAGGACAAAGAGAAGAAAGAAAAAACAAAAAAAAAAAAAAGCGCAGACAGACAATCACCGCTCATTGAACTTCCTTCGCTCAAATTGTTAAAGGACACACAGCAGCTTACAAGCTAAGCTCAATTGTAAATGGCAAAAACGTATCCGTAGCAGGTACCGTATCCATTGACGCGACGATCATTGGATCGATTCCAAAAACCGTTGAAGTGTTATTGCTGCAGGGTTAGCAGCGTTACTTATAGCATAGCCTATGGGGGAGGCCAGGTCGCCCGTGCACGTTGATGGAAGGGTTATCACTTGAAGGAAATCCGAAGGGGAACACGTTCCTTTTTTCCGATGGGGGTTTATTACATTTACGACAAATCGGTAGACATGGATGTACTTGAAAGCGAAACAGTCTCTGGTCCGTTCAACGGAGGGGCCCGAGGTGGGAAGCAAAGTAAGGTGGACCGAAATTCGAATTTTTTTTTTCCCTGGGAGCTCGGAAGCCCATCTGAAAGTCTGCCCTCACCTCACCGTGATCGGGGATCTGTCGTATCTCCATCCATCCATCCTCATACTATTTTGGGCAACCCACGAGGGAAAAGACTGGACGATAGGCGAGACAGGTGCCGAAATGACGGGACTCACTTTTAGACCATACACGGAGCATGACGCACAATGAGCCACCGGGAAAACTACTGATGTGCGGGCATGAGATCATCCAAATTTAAACTATGGAAATTGGTCGCCTGCGGTGTCTCTTCTTCAGAAGTCGTCAACTTAATTTCTGCCAAATGCCAATAAATAGAATAAATTGGCACTGGCCTGCGGTTTCGAAGTCGATGTCGGACCTTCCCTGAGGGGGGCCCTGACGGGCAAAATCTGATACAACAATTACAGTGCCAAATGAGCGAGGAAGGTTTCTAGTCTAGTAAATCCTCCCCATTATTCATCCGACCACAACATAACTCTATGTGAGAAGGGAAAGAAGCGGGTATCCGATCTATTAATAATGAATCAGTGTACGACGGCGCGCGTGTGTTCGCGTCTGGAATTTCATGGTTCGTCTTCGGGTCCCTTGGGTTACCAGGTTGCTGTGGAACCCTGAGAAGGAGTCTCGGAGTCGCTCAGGACTAGGAATAATCATCCATGATACGAAGTAGATTGTTTAACTCAGGAAGATCACTAGTTTGGCAACCGTGGAAGCCAAGTCTTACTTTAGCGCAGACGTAGAACTTCGAATAGTAGGTTCATGATACACAAAGACGAACTAGGTCTAATTGCGGTCAGGGTCGCAAAGACCGATCCCCAACCATAATCACTCACCCTCATAATAAGGTAGGTCTTGCGCAGTGGGCTGGAAAGGAGAGCCAACAATGCCCCCCCATTCTTGACTTCAAACCATACCCCACAAGGCTTTCATGCATAATGGCAGTATCAATAGACCCTCTACAAATACCAGAAAGAAAAAGAAAGAAAAGGCCAGAAATCAGAACCAATCTCAAGTCCCAGCCCATATACATGAGACATGGAGAGGAAAGGGGCGTACTGTACTGTACATGACATATGGACCTGGGACCTAGCCACAGTCAAACAAAACCCCGAACGAGGGCTCGGATATGGTGGAGGCAACATCGACAGGCTACCTACGAGTTAACTACTAGTTACGAGTAACTAGACTGCTGTAGTGTAGTTAGGCTTGTCGCGATTCAACGAACCGTACCTGGGCCATCCAGACCGACAACCGGACCAGAACCATCCGTCACGTTTTAGTGATACCAGAAATACGGTATTCACCGCACCTTTGTGCTTCGGTCGCCTGTAATCAATCGGTACCGCCCACCCAGCGCGCCAGAGTCCGCTCCGGGGCGAAGACAATCACCGGTTTTACCGGTCTTTCCACAATAACAATTAAGGTAATGAATGTCTTTCCAGTGCCTGCCCGGGGTGCGCCGCCCACAGTTCTTCCCCCCCAAGTTGGCTGACTGTAAGTTACTGTCTTTGGTCTGTCTGTCTCTCTCTGTTGCCTCCCCTCCCCTCTGTCCACCCCCATCTCGATCCTAACCCCAAAGCAAGCCCAACCAC